TAGGTAGTCAGTGCAAAGCTCAGGCCCTGCCTGAGCGCTTCCCAGTGGCCTCTACTCCGGACCCTTGTTGCCAAGGGGTACTGGGGCCCGAATTTGCCTGACCACCTGGGTGGTTTTTGTTTTTTTTCCCCCCAATTTTTAAAAAAGCGGTCAAATTCCCATAACATAAAGTTTACCATCTTATTTTTAAGTGGGCAGTTCAGTGGCATTAAGTACATTCACATTGTTGTGCTACCATTGCCATCATCCATCTGTAGGACTTTTCATTATGCAAAACTAAAATTGTGTCCATTGAACAATCATCTCGTGTTGCCCTCACTCCAGCTCCTGGCCGCCACCATTTTACTTTGTGTGTCTATGAATGTGACTGCTCTAGGGACCTCATAGAAGTGGAATCATACAGCATTTTGTGACAGGCTTCTTTCATTTAGCGTAGTGTCTTCGAGGTTCATCCATGTGGTAGCATGTCAGAATTTCCTGCCTTTTTAAGGCTGAATAGGATTCCATTGTATGTATAGGTCACGTTTTGTTTATCTGTTCATCCGTCAGTGGACACTTGGGTTGCTTCTACCTTTTGGCTGTTGAGCATAATAATGCTCTGAAAACGGGTGTGCACATACCTCTTGGGGATCCTGCTTTCAATTCCCAGCAAATGGGAATTGCTGGGTCAAGTGGGAATTCTATGCTTAATGTTTTGAGGAACCGCCGTACTGTTTTCCACAGCGGCTGCACCATTTTACATTCCCGTCAACAGTGCACAAGGATTTCATTTTCTCCGCAACACGTATCCTCCCCGTCCCCTCCCCGCAACCCAATGGGTGTGATGTGTTCTCATTCACTTTTTCACCTCTGCCCTTTCCAGGGCTCTGCGCAGAGTAGGTACCCAATAACCATTTGTTGAGTGAATGTTTTCATTGCTACGAATAAATGTGAACCGCAGTGTAGCCGACGGAGGGGCCTGTGCCATCGAACAGGTGGAGAGCCAGTGTCTTCCCTCTAGCACCTCTCATGTCTTGGGACAGTGCAGGGAGCAATGCCTACACTTAATGGAAGATTTCCCCCCGTTTTTCCCCACCTGCCCCGTTAAGAGCCTATTTGCTGTGTTTGGGAACTACAGTTGCTTCTGAAAAGAAGGGGCTGCCTCGTTCATTCTTCTCTAACCCTAAACTGACTCCGTCCCGCTCCCTCTGTTGAACAGGATCTCCTGCAGATTCGATCATACGTCTACGCGGAGGAGCCAAATATCGACATTCACAACTTTGTGGGAACGTTTACCCGAGTAAGTCAGCTTCGCCCAATGCAGAAGCCTGCCTCAGCGTTGCGGGTGCCTCAGAAACCTTGTGGGTGACAGTCTGCAAGGACGGGTGGACAGGCCTGTGTCAGGAAGTCGCTTTGTGCCAGGTGGGGCTGAGAGTCCCCCAGGAAGGCCCCACCTGGAAGCTGACATTTTGTTATTCAGTAAGATTGACACAAGGGGGACTTTCTTTCAGCCTCTGTAGAACAGCTTGAATCATTGACAACTTGGAGCCAAGTATTGTTACAATTTACCTTAACGCAATGTCTGAAAGCAGTTACTGTTTCTGTCTCCCTCAGATGGGCCCATATCTTTTGTTCCTACAAGTGCTGTCTGCGATTGTTAAGCCACTTCCCCACCGTTCAGCATAGAAATTAAATTTGGAATTAAGTTCCTTTAGGAATCTGGGACCACAGGTTGATAGAACCCAATTTAAATTGTTCATATTCTCTTCCTATAAGCCATATGACTGTTCCTGTGTGATCTGTTTCTATGTATTAGCTGTCACCTTGTGAGAACCACTTCTTCAGGGTTAGAGGCTTATACTTCTTGAATCATGAACCAGCTTTTTCAAGTATTTCCATGGGGATGGAAACCCCACGGACAGCAGTTTATGGGCTTGGCCCTTCTCTCCTGGCTGAGCTGTCGGTTTCTAAACAGGGGTCATCCTTCTCTTTCCATCTTGAGAAGAACAGGGTAGAAACAGCCTCGGTATTGTTTCAAAACTTTAATACGTAAGTGTGTGTCCGTGTGGCCTTTTCCAGGAGGACAGCGACCCTCCGATCAGCGAGAGCTTGAGCATAGAGAACGCGCTCTGGGCTGGCACCGTCATCGCATCAGGTGAGGCACCCTTTTCTGCACGAGGAATATGTTAGCAATTTGAAAAGGAAAGAAAATCCTTTTGTGTAATTAGAATAATCATCTGTCAGTTGGGAAAACGAGTCGTTGGTCAAATGGTGTTTTCCACTTGTTCCTCCGCCTCTAGGGGATTAAACTGACATCTAATTGCCCGTCGGACACTTAGAGTCGCCGAGAAGAGAAGCAGCTCTGGCCTGTGGTCTTTTCGGCAGCGTCCACTCTGGGAATAGCCCTTAATTGCCACTGCAGATTGACGTTCTAATCTGTACCAGAAATCGGGCCAGCCTGGATGCTCGGGCTGGAAGTGGTGTCGCTGGGGGCCGTGGAGCCGGCCCTGCTGGTTCAGGGGCTCCGGTGCACGGGAAGGGCCGTCAGCCAGGGCTGGGGCATCTGTGGTTCCGAACACCAAGATGATGTGGGAATCGGTGCCTTTCAGTTTTGAGCCCTGGGAAGCACCTGAACGGAAGGGGTTCCAGGGTTGAGCGTGGTCTGCAACAGCCCTGGTTGATACTGGTGGGGTGCCGCCCCCTGTCAGGCAGTGTGCTAAGCCTTTTGTGTGTGTTAGACATTTCACTCAATCCAGCAGTGCCATGAGGACAGGTGCTAGTATCTGCCCCCATTCTGCAGATGAGGAAACCGAGGCTCAGTGAGGTTAAGTCACTTGCCCAAGGTCACACAGCAGCTAAAAAGCAAAGTTGGGGCTCGAACCCACACCCGTTGCTGCAGAAGCAGAACTCATTGTGCAGCTATTATATTACATATATAATAAAATATATTGTTATTAACATATAATTTCACAACTGGCCATGTTGTGTCTTTACCATTGGAAGAATCAACCCCCCCCCCTTCAAACATGATATCTCCCAACTATCAACCCATTTCCTCTGCTTGATGCTTTTTTGTGGCTCTTTAGTACAACATACACTCAATCTGGACCTTCCATGACAAGGAAAGGGATTGACCAGCCCCAGCGACACCCAC